AGAAGTGTCTATGGAGATTCTCAGACATCCAGGTCATAGTTGTCCCAAAGATGCTTTTTCAAAAGGCAAATGGACTTTGTTTTTCCTTGAAAACATTTCACTTCTCATTCAAGAAGCTTCTTCAGTTCTGTTCTAAGCCACGTCCACATCATAGCAATCATGGCTACTCAGGGATTCTGTTTCAACATTTTTATATGCATGCATCATGGTTTCCCCTCCCCCCCACTTACTTCTGCAGAATTGAAATGAAACATGGTGATGAATGGAGCATGTATATTATCTGGAATTAAATAGAATACTGTACCTATTAAATATTTAGCACATCAAGAGTTTACAGGCTGCAGTTATACCTTTAATGCATTTTCCTCAGCCTTTTATAATATTCAGTTTGCAACAGGTAGAGGAGTATAGTGATCTACAGAAGGAAAAAATGAAAATAACGTGGAAGGAAGTTGTTTATATTTTATTTATAAGTTTAGGATATTCAGCAGCATGAGGTTCATTTCGCCTCTACTATTTTTGAAATTTAAGCTTTGATACAGATTGCCTTTTCCTATCCTTCCTTGCAGCCAAGCAAACATATCATATTACTTTAAAAAGCAGATTGTATAAAATTAAGACAAGATGATACAATTAGCCATGACTAGGGCAAAGTTTCTACCACTTTGCTGTTTATAGATATAATGGACAAATGAAGAAATACTCTTGTGCCTTACAAATAACTATTTGAGGGAATGGTGAACATGCAATTGCTAAAACCAGGGGTGGGTTCTACATTTTTTTACTATTGGTTCTGTGGGCGTGGCTTATTTTGTGGGCGTGGCTTGAAGGTCATGTGACTAGGTGGGCGTGGCTAGCTGGTCAGAGTCATTTCTGGAAGGTCCTCGCACTTACGACCCGACTCATTTGTTTGCTTTTAACACTGATCAGCTGTAGGGCGGCCCTTTGAAGCCCCGCGATAAGAGTTTAAACAGTTTTTTTTCCTCTAGTCATCAGCTGGGACTCAGGAGGCAGCAATAGATTGGGGGTGGGACCAAATAAAAGGTAAGAATAATGTGGGTGGGTGGGGCGGGGAGGGCGGGGGGGGAGAACCGGTTCGGTGACGTCATATCATCACCGCTACCAGTTCGGCCGAACCGGACCGAACCGGGAGGAACCCACCACTGGCTAAAACGTGTAAATTGAAAGTTGTTGGGAAATAAGAAAAAATGAAGGACTCTATGATAAAATTTGCTTGCATCACCCTTGTGTCAGAAACACCTAAGTGCTTCCAGATTGAATGGAATAGCCAATGACATCACTATTGCCCAGGGAATGCCCAATTGGGTCTCCTTTCATGGACCTGGCAGGAGCTGGAGTGAAAGACGGGAGCTCACCCGACCCCATGGCAGCACCCAGGTCTCGAACGCGGGCTTGCTAACCTCCAACACAGCGTCCTAATCACATGAGCCACCATCATCAACTTCTTTTAACAACCCCATAATCCCTTGTGGAGTGGAGTCTGGGCAACTGAATGGAGCTAGCAGAGTGTTTTAATGGCCGGATGCCCTTCCTGTCACCAATGCGGAGTTTTGTTCAGCAGATATATTCTCATTGTGCGAGAAATATCTGCCTCTATCTAGGATCGAACTCACAGCTTCCTGATTGTGAGGCGAGAGCTCCACCTCTAGGCCACCGCACCACTCTTAATCACATGAGCCACCCTGTCCCCTATAAAATGGGCTAAGAACATTTGACACAATTAACTGTGGGAACAGTCAGAAAATAGATGGCTAAAAGAATTGAAATTCATTCCATCTTGACAATTTTTGACCTCTTTGTCAGGGTAATTTACGCTCCAATTTTGACCTTGTTTCCCCCTCCCCCCAGAGTGTGTCATCAATCACATTCGCCAACAGACCAATTTTGTGGGTTGTAGAGGTCACTCCCCTCCGGCTGCTGTAGGTAACCCTGGGATACAGCCTTGAGAGAGATAAGCATGGAATGTGCATCTGTCTTTGGCTGCTGTGCCATTTCGCCAGTTTCCCATCCCCCCCCGGCCTACGGCAACTCGAGAGCAGGCCAAGGATGCTTTGCGAGTTGACATTTGATGTCCTCTGGGGATGTCCCTGACAGCAGTTCTTCTTTGTAACCCCTCTTTATAATGAGCAAGGAAAGGTCTTCAGCTCAGCTGCTAAGCAGACATGCCATTCTTTTCATCGAAGGGTATTTGATTCTGATTGTATGAATGCTTCTATTGGAAGAAATATCCATTTGGTTCAGTTCCAAGCTGGAAGAAAGACACTGGAAACATGGAGGCTGATTGGAAAGATAGTTTAATGGTGAAGCAGAAGCACATGGGTGATTCTGGGCAGCTGACCACATGGAGTTGAGAGTGGGTGGCTTTTATTCCCTCTCTGGGCTATGTATTTGAGCTTCCTGTTCTTTGCGTGCTCCCTCTTCCACCTCCATTTAAAAACTGTTCTAATTGCCTTTTGAGGGAAGACCCCCCCCTCTCCTAGAAGAATGAAATATTTTGAGAAATATTAAAAAGGCAGAATATTATATTTCCCTCAATGAGAAATTGAAAAACATGCTCTTGGAGACAGAAAGCAGCTCCCACCTTTCTTGATGGTCCTCAGCAGATGTCAGCACTTAAGAGATAAAGAGATAGCTAGCTCTAATAAGCAAATTCTCTGTAGCAAGGTCTGAAGAAAGGTAGGGTTAGTCCTCAGCCACAATAGGAATTGCCCAACAAGTCCCTTCATTGCATCAGCCAAACTTCAACCAAGCTTGGCTCAGATAACCTACAGAGCCAGCTATGACCCCTACAACAGCCAATAGAATACAGGTCCTTGCACAGGAACAGGAAGCTCAAGTTCAACGCCCAAGAGAAAGTATAAATACCCCTCACTCTCAACTCTATGTGGTCAGCTACCCAGAACCATGTGCTTGGTAGTTCTGCTTCACCATTAAACCCTCTTTCCAATCAGCCTCCAGCCTCCATTTTGTCTCCAGTGCCTTTCTCCCGGCTTGGAACTGAACCAGATGGATATTGTCTCCCAACATTTTCTTCCCCTTTCCTCTTAATATTATTTTTGCTGAAGGGAGAGTAGATTCTTTTCTGCTTTTTCAATAAACAGTTCCTGCTGCCCATCCCGATAGTTCCTGCAGCTATGAAGTCCTGAAATAGATTTTTGTCCTTTATTGTGTTTGATATTCTTGCATATAAGGATGCAGCAATTTAAAAATAAAAAACTGGAATGGGACAGAGAATATATGCTCACAAAGCAAAACCAGCTTCTGAACAGTGATGGAGACAAGGAAGATATTTCACGAGAGGAGTCCTCCACTCCTCTGCTCGCAACAGAATACCTTATGCCACCAGGCTTCAAATTTTGGGCTTAGAGAATTTAGAACTATGCCTCCTTCGGTCTGACCTAAGTGTAATGCATAAAATTATCTGCTATAACGTCCTACCTGTCAATGACTACTTCAGCTTCAACCACAACAATACATGAGCAAATAATAGATACAAACTTAAGATAAACTGCTCCAAACTCGATTGCAGAAAATACAACTTCAGCAACAGAGTGGTCAATGCCTGGAATGCACTACCTGACTCTGTGTTTTTTTTTTTTGTTTTGTTTTAATTTGATTTATCTGCCGCCCTTCTCCGGAGACTCAGGGCAGCTTACAATGCACTAAGCAATAGCCTTCATCCTTTTGTATATTTATACAAAGTCAGCTTATTGCCCCCACAAACTGGGTCCTCATTTCACCTACCTTAGAAAGGATGGAAGGCTGAGTCAACCTTGAGCCTTGGAGAGATTCGAACCAGCAGAAATTGCAGGCAGCTGTGTTAATAACAGGGTGCACTAAACCACTGTACTATCAAGGCTCTTCATCCCCAAATCCCCAAAACTTTAACCTTAGACTGTCTACTGTTGACCTTACCCCATTCCTAAGAGGTCTGTAAGGGACTTGCATAAGTGCACCAACATGCCTACCGTCCCTGTCCTAATATTCCTTTTTACTCTTACTCTTTTCATGTATTCATAATCATGTCTAAACTTAACATCTGTTTTCTTATACATGCTTGACAAAATAAATAATAAAATAAAATAAAATAAATTAAAATAAAATAATAAAGTAAAGTAAAGTAAAGTAAAGTAAAGTAAAGTAAAATAAAATAAATAAATAAATAAATAAATATAAACTAAACTAAACTAAACTAAACTAAACTAAACTAAACTAAACTAAACTAAACTAAACTAAACTAAACCAATAAAATAAAATAAAATAAAATAAAATAAAATAAAATAAAATAAAATAAAATAAAATAAAATAAAATAAAATGTTCTTTAGGACTCCCGATTTAAGAGTTCCTCATCCTGATAGAAATGTTTGCCTAAGGCCAAATTTCACAAGCATTCTTTTAAATCACAGTTTTGATTTAAAATTTGATGGGATGATAAAGACCTGGTATAAATTGTTTATGGTTCCATCTGCGCTACAAGTCATTGGCAGGGATTGCAGATTGAGGGCTTCCCTACAGATGCATTTAATCTACCGACAATCAATGTGGTTTTGGGTTTCATCGGCTTTGGTAAGGCCAATAATATGTATAATGTATAATAGGCACATGGCCACTGAAAAACTGCAGAATTCTTCTAATTTCATGATAGTGAAGGACTGTAAGCAATTTTTCCTAGGACACAAGGACTGAGTAAGTTGCTTCTTTTTTTTTTTTTGACAGTAACAGGAAGGGTTGGAAGGGACTTTGGAGGTCATTTAGTCCAACCCCCTGTTCATGCAGGAGACCTATACTAGGGATTCGAACTGCTGAACTGCTGACCTTTCTGATCGACAAGCTCAGAGTCTTAGCCACTGAGCCACCTAGCCAGGCTTGCAGGATCATGTCCCATAGGTGTAGTATGTATGACCCCTAGAACAGGGATGGCCAAATATGGCCCCTTTATGACCTGTGGACTTCAACTCCCAGAATTCCTGCTGCAGTGGATAATTGTCCTGGATATTAACTAGAAGACTCTGAATTCTAGCTCTGTCTTGAAATGGAAGCCATCTGGGTGACCTTGGAGGCCAGTCCTTTTCCTCAACCCCAGAGAGAAGACAGTGGAAAACCACTTCCAAAAATGTCTCTGTTAGGATATGGTGTAAGTCTTTAACAAGTTGTCCAGGCAATATATGTGTTCTATAACTTTAAATGTATTCAATAACTTTAGGAGAGAATGCTGAGTAATTGTACTGCTGAGTCATTGTAATGACTAATGACTGCTGACTAACTGCTGACTGCAATTATCATAATTGTACTGTTGAGTCATTGCATTGCTGACTTCACTTATCTTAAGTGGATAATTACTAGTGTAAACTGTATATAAGAAGGAAGCTGAGCTATAGTCATTGTTGGACCTGCTCTCATCATTGCTTGACTTGCTGCTTGACCTGTTGATTGAAACTGTTACTGTCGTGTGTGAAGAAGTGGAGGGATCTGCTATCATCGTGATTTGTTACCAGCGTGAATTACTGCTGTTTGTCTGGTAAGAAGATATCTGTAACTTCGGACTGATTTGAATGGCTAAAGACTTGGATTGATTAAAAGACTATGCAATTGTTTTTCACTACAAAGTAAAAGCTTTGTTAAACCAGTTTGTATGTATTGTATATACATACTGCTCTCAGTACCGTTTCTCTGTGCGCTTACTCTGCTGGTTGGTAACACAACAATATCCTTAACAGTCCCAAAGGTGCCTTTTCAAGAGGCAACTGGATTTTCTGTTGTTGTTTTTTCAGAGCTGAAGAAGCTTTTTGGATGAGAACATCTTCAAAGAAAAAACCAGAAAGTCCAGTTGCCTCTTGAAAAAAAGCACCTTTGGGACAACCATGACCTGGATGACGGAGGACCTCCATAGACACTTCCAAAAATGTTGCCAACGAAACTGAATGAACTTGTCCATATAGTCCCTGGGAATCAAGAGTGACTCGAAGAGTCACCCATCTCTCCACCCTTCAAGGCTGGTAGTTAGCCAAGTCTCTCTAGATCATGGTAAGGGCTTGTTTTTAATCAGAGGAGATTGTCTCCAGGGCCTTCCCTACCTTGAAAATGTAAGGAGGGCTTTGGAGGGCCAACTTCTTGACATTTTTGGCCACCCCTTGTAGGCAACCCTGACATTATATCAGCATTGGGAAAATGTTTGCCCAGGTTGAGAAACACGGGATTAAATGTCCTAGAGCCATGATGGCGAACCCAGTGGTAGGTTCCTCCCGGTTCGGTCCGGTTCGGCCGAGCTGGTAACGGTGATGATATGACGTCACCGAACCGGTTCTCCCCCCTCCCGCCCTCCCCGCTCCACCCACCCACATTATTCTTACCTTTTATTTGGTCCCACCCCCAATCTATTGCTGCCTCCTGAGTCCCAGCTGATGACTAGAAGGAAAAAAACTGTTTAAACTCTTGCCGCGGGGCTTCAAAGGGCCGTCCTACAGCTGATCAGTGTTAAAAGCAAACAAATGAGTCGGGTCGTAAGTGCGAGGACTGGTCGTAAGTGCGAGGACCTTCCAGAAATGACTCTGACCAGCTAGCCACGCCCACCCTAGTCACATGACCTCCAAGCCACACCCACAAAATAAGCCACACCCACAGAACCGGTAGTAAAAAAATTTAGAACCCACCCCTGGGCGAACCTATGGCACGCGTGCCGCAGGTGGCACACAGAGCCCTCTCTGTGGGCACGTGAGCCCTCGCCAGCTGCCCCTTGGGTTCTGGCATGCGCATACGTGCCAGCCACCTGTTCTTCGTGATGCTGGAGCACTGGAAACCCAAAGACCAGCTGGTTTTCGGGTTTGTGGCACTCCAGCACATGCGCCACATGCATGTGCGTGTGTGCGCATTCCGGTTTGGGCACTCAGTGCCAAAAAGGTTGGCCATCACTGTCCTAGAGTCCTACTGGACAATCACTTAAATGAGCCAGCAGTGTGCTGGAGCTGCCAAAAAAAGCCATCACAGTCCTAGGCTGCTTTAACAGGTGGCTTGCTACCAGTTTGCCCCAGTTCAGGTGAATGGGTAGTAGCAGCGTCAGGAGGCTCCACCCACTCGCCTCGACGTCATCAAATAAGATCCTTGATAGTACAGTGGTCTAAGCACCCTGTTATTAACACAGCTGTCTGCAATTATTGCAAGTTCGAATCTCCCCAAGCTCAAGGTTGACTCAGCCTTTGATCCTTTCTAAGGTAGGTGAAATGAGGACCCAGTTTGTGGGGGCAATAAGCTGACTTTGTATAAATATACAAAAGTATGAAGGCTATTGCTTAATGCACTGTAAGCCGCCCTGAGTCTCCGGAGAAGGGCGGCATATAAATCAAATAAAAATAAAAAAACCCTCTTCACATGCGCAGAAGTGGTACGTGCACAAGCCGAAGCAAGCACACCCGCACGAACTGGTAGCAAAGATAAGTGAAACCCATCACTGTAACAGAGGGATAGAATCAAGATTACATGAAAGGTTAATACCGCTTTATAGTGTCTTGGTGAGGCCACACTTGGAATGATGCCTCCAATTTTGGTGATCACAATGTAAAAAAGATGTGGAGACTCTAGAAAGAGTGCAGAGAAGAGCAACCAAGATGATTAGGGGACTGGAGGCTAAAACATGTAAAGAACGGTTGCAGGAACTGGGTATGTCTAGTTTGATGACGAGAAGGACTAGGGGGAGACATGATAGCAGTGTTCCAATATCCCAGGGATTCCCACAAAGAAGAGGGAGTCAAGCTATTCTCCAAAGCACCTGAGGGCAGGACAAGAAGCAATGGGTGGAAACTAATCAAGGAGAGAAGCAACCTAGAACTAAGGAGAAACTTAGTCAATTAATTAGAGTGGAACAACTTGCCTCCAGAACAATTAATCAGTGGAACAACTTGCCTCCAGAAGTTGTGAATGCTCCAACACTGGAAGTTTTTAAGAAGAGATTGGACAGCCACTTGTCTGAAATGATATAGGGGGGGTTGGACTAGAAAATCTCCAAGGTCCCTTCGAACTCCATTATTCTGTTACTTGTGTTCTGTGTTGATATAGGTAGATATTCAGCTCTGAAGGGGAATAGTGGGCGAAATTAAGACAGGAATGAAGTTTGCAATGACAGCCCACTCTCCAATTAATTGTAGTCTCATGCAAAAGAGCTGAGAGACATACTGAACATCCCTTTTCCAGCCACAGAGTCTGTCTTGAACTAGAGTTGCCTAAGGCTTAAGCATTCAGCTACTGTCCTCTGATTGAATGCAAATTCCCGTCTTGCTGGCTCCCTGGAGACGGAGACAGCGCACGCTAGATAGTCTCCCAAGTCATTTCACACCCATTTTTTTGATTTTCCAGCTGACTAGTAATTTAGCAGAACTGGAATGAGAAATTCATGGTGCTGATGTCATTAACTTGCAAGCCTGCGTAGGCCGAAATGATGGTTTCTCTGAGCTGGCAATCACAGGTTCTTCAATCAAAGAAGTTTATGCTATGAAAAATTAGTCGGAGCAGGGAAATTGGTGAGAAATTAAATGTCTGAAGTCTCTTCATCCTTTGAAAAAGAGAGGCAACTTTGCTGCGTTGTAAAAGAAACGATCCCCTATTCTTAATAAATTCATTTCTGGTACCGTATCGAATAACAACTGTGTAATAAATGAAAGAAAACAGAGTGTTGATTGAACAAGTTTAGCTCAAGTAAACATTGATAGACGCAAAGCCGACAAAAATTGGAATGCAGAGTTAACCAGGGGATGTCGGCAGGATTGGATAAAAAGGAAAATAACCCTCAAGATTTCAGCTATGATGGGTGCATTTCACATTAAAAATGAGTGAACTTTTGATTGCCGTGTTGTAGTCACCATCTAATCAAGATCACATGAAGTTCTAGTACCTCTTTACAAAGCCTTAGTAAGTAATTCCACACTTGGAGCACTGCATCCAGTTCTGGTCACCATAATATAAAAAAACAAAGATCTTGGAAAGAGTGCATAGAAGAGCAACAAGAATGATTAGGGGGCTGGAGGCTAAAATATTTGATGAACAGTGGTGAAATCCAAATTTTTTTACTACCGGTTCTGTGGCCGTGGCTTAGTGGACGTGGTGAGGCTTGGTAGGCATGGCTTGGTGGGCATGGCAGGGGAAGGATATTGCAAAATCTCCATTCCCACACCACTCTGGGGCCAGCCATAGGTGGCATTTGCCAGTTCTGTGAACTACTCAAAATTTCCGCTACTGGTTCTCCAACTACTCAAAATTTCCGCTACCAGTTCTCCGAACTACTAAAAATTTCCACTACCAGTTCTCCAGAACCTGTCAGAACCTGCTGGATTTCACCCCGATGATGAATGATTACAGGAATTCGGTATATCTAGTCTAATGAAAAGAAACACTAGGGGAGACATGATCTAATATTTGAGGCTACTACAAAGATAAGGAGGACAAAGCACTAGAAGGCAAGACAAGAAGCAATAGATGGAAACTAACCAAGGAGAGAAGCAATTTGGAAGTAAATGTAATTTCCTAACTGTGAAAGCAATCAATCAATGGAACATTTTGCATTCAGGAGTTGTGGGGGCTCCATCCCCCCCAAAAAAATTGGACAACCATTTATCTGAAATGATGGAGGGTCTCTTGCTGAGGATTGAACTAGAAGTTCTCCAGGATCCCTTCCAATTCTATTACTCTGTGTTTTATGTTGTCTCTAGTGCTAGTGTTTCTCAACCTTGAGAACTTGAAGATGGGTGGACTTCAACTCCCGGAATTCCTCAGCCAACAATGGGAGTTGAAGCCCACCCATCTTCAAGCTGCCATGATTGAAAAAAACCCTGATGTAGACTTGCTGACCATACCATGTAGACCCCCCTGGATTTAGCTTTTCTAAGTTTATAGAGTCAGAGCAACCAAGAAGCACCCAACATGTTTGAGAAGAAGGCAGCGTTGGCCCAAACATTTTCATTCCCCAAACTCCTGGAGGAAGTTAGCACCCACCCCTCTTCTAGGAAAATGAGATATTTTAGGAAATATTAAAAGGGCAGAATATTTCCCCTAAAAGGGAGGCAGAAACTCAGCCCCCACCCTCCCATCTTTGTCAATGGGCCATTAAGGCCTGGGCCAGTCTGTTCTACATAACAAAGATCTACCTCCTTCAGGCAGAGCCATAGTAGGAATTGCCCAAAGCCCTTTCACTACATCATCACCAGGGGTGGGTTCTACTTACCTTTACTACCGATTTGCAACGGGGCCACGTGCGCACACACTCTTCTGTGCATGCGCAGAAGTGTTCTGATGATGTCGGGGTCAGTGGGCGGAGCCTCCCTCCGGTTTTACTACTGGTTCTATAGAACCGGTCCGAACTGGGGGCAACCCACCACTGATCATCACCCAGCAAGATTCAACCAAGCTTGGGACTCAGGACAGCCTACAGAGTTGCCCCTGCATGGCCCCATGGAAGTCTGACAACCAATCAGAATACAAGCTCAAATTCAAAAGCCCAGCAAGGGCATAAAACCCGGGCACTCTCAGCAACTC